TATGTAGATGTATTACTATGCTTTTTTAGATGAATAAACTGAGGCACAGAGAGATTAAATAGTTTTCCACAAGATTACACAGGTGAGGAGCCAGGATTTGAATCCAGGTCCAGGAATTTCCAAACTTTAGATTTTCTGCTATATCATACTAACTCTTTATTACTTTAGGAACAGATAGAAGGTAGTACTATAAAGGAGAGGGCGTGCAATCCAGCTGAAATTATTATCATCTCTCATAGAGACCTGAAAGTTCAATTTTCGTGGGTAGTCTTTGCCTATTAGGACAGGAAACTGGCAGCCATTAGTAATGTCCATTTATAGACAGGAATCATTCAGTAAGTTTAATATAGTCTAATTGTACATTATCTAGTTGCATCAATTAAAATTGTTAAGTCATGCTAGAAATTTTATAGATGAGAAAATAAAGACACAAGAAGTTGAAAAGAAAGTAAATGGGATTTAATAGACATCTGGATAACATGACCTTGTCATTGTTCTTTATTTTAGGATTTCCTATGAAGGAAACTGGTTATAATTTAGATTCTTTGTAAGCGTCAGTTATATAACTACAATGCAATATAGAAAAATGGAGAATATCTTCATATGAATCTCATTCTTGGATTAATTTTCTACTTGTGAAAATCATTATATTTTCCAACCTACATATCAAGTATATCACCCAGTCTTGTCAAGTCTGCCTACTAGATAAATCTAGAACACTTCCCACCAGTTCTTTATCTCCACTGCTGCCTACCTATTCAACCTCATCCTCCACTCCTCTGCTCACATTAGCAATATCAAAATGCTTGCAGTTTCCGGAAAATGCTAGGGAGCTTTATACATCAGTGCTATATCAATGTGCTCTCAGTCTGAAATATTCTTTCTTCATTTGATTTCTTCATAAAATATGGCTTATTTTTCACCACCTACCTTGTTCATGTGCGAACCACTCTGCAAATCAACCCTTAACTCTCCAAGTAGATTTAATCACTCTTTTCCACTGTGCTAATAATGAACTTTAAATATGGTTTTATTATCACATCACCTATCATGTATTTGACTGGTTTTATTACATGTCAATCTCTCCTTCCACTTTGTGACTTCACTGTGTGGACAGAAACTCAATTTAATGAATAAACATACTAACAGCAGTATTATATTTAACATATAACTGATGGGCTTTAGAGAAATACCTTAAAGACTGCAAGTGGTATAAAATATAACAGGCAAATGCCTTTTAATAATTTGAATTGGAAACAATTAATGGTAAATAATAGGAAAGAAAATAAC